TCCGTAAATATTGAAGCTAATTTCTTCAAAATTGATGCTTGCAACAATTCTTTATCAGGAAATACGCTTATCATAAAATTTTGGAAAATGGGCTTGGCACCGCCCACTTATGATCACCCATGTCGTGACGAGTTTGTTCCAATGGAGACCGAACGAACGAGTCACAGCAATGGCAAAGCAATAAATAGCCGGCAAAATCGAGACAGAAAATGTATACAATGATTATGCAATCGCGCTGCGATAATAATAAAAACAACAAGTAGAATACATAACAATACAATTCTTCTATGTATACAAACATACATATAGCATATGCATGTAATATGTGCTAATATAACGAATAATTCTCAAATGGGCGAAAGAGAAATTTACGAAATGGCGCCTTTTGGCAGTGAAAATTATGAATTTTTATTTTGCGTTTTGACCAAATTTAATAACCACCTATTAACAAGAACACTTAGGGCCGGTTACTCAATGTCTGGTTAACACTAACTACAGGTAAAACATCGTTATCGACGTTACCGACACAATGTTATATGTATGGAGCCGAAGACGTCGATAACGATATTTAACCGCAGATTAGTGTTAACCAGACATTGAGTAACCGGCCCTAAAAATAATAAGTAAAACGCCAGTTCTTGAAGCATACATCATATAGCGTTACTTTAATTCACAAACGCCCCAACCAACACTTTTTTTCGTAACTGTGTTTTTCACAGATTTTGGTAGGAGGTATTAAGGTACGCCTTCAATAAAAATTTTAAAGTGCTAGTACTCTGCTTGCTACTCTTTTTATAAATGTTTTTTTTTTGCTTCTGTAAAATAAAAAAATGTACGTAATCTTTTCAACAAAACAATTTGTTTTTCACTATTGCCAGATTGGTTACCGTCAGCGGGGGGGTCTTATGTAAAGCAGCGTTAATTAACTAGTGGGCGCTGTAGTGAATTTTCGAATAAGCAACAATTGAAAGCAAAACACCGGCCGGGCGGCCGGCCGGCAAATATAAACCCACACACATAAAAATATTTTTATTGTACTAGTATTTTGAATTTATTTTCTTATGCATTAAGTACGTGCAAATGCTAATTGTACTAATAATGCATTTCAACAAAAGCTATACAACGCCAACAAACAAACGAAATGATTTTTATTATGCACTGGAGCGCACCGTTTTCAAATCTAGAAATCAACTAAAAGAAATCGAAAACAAAGTATACATATGCATACACGTACATACAGACATATGTAATGTAAATTTAGAATAGTTATTTGCTTATGGAATGCGTTCAAATTAAATATTCTGAAAAATAATAAAAAATAAATTTGTTAAGAATAGTACTTCACTAAACTTGTAAGAAAAATGTTATATATTGGATCATATGAAGTCTCGGCGGATTTTTGTTACTATGTAGTATTGATGCCCATATGTACATCTGGCAACACTAATTCAATTGCGTTTGAAAAGTGACATTTCAGGCTACATTTTTAGTGAAAACTATGCTATTTTAATTGAGAAAAAAAAAGATGAAAACGCTGCAAAAACATGTCGAAAAATTTGTGTGGAGTAAGACGAAAGTTCTGAGAGTGAGTATTCCAGACCCAGGAGTGGTTTGCTCGATTGCGTGGCGAAAATGTTGGCGTCAAATAAGTACCTCGCTCTGATCGACCAGTCATTGGAAAAGTGGATAAAATCTTGGGATTGAAGGGGAATTCTCACTATGAACTGCTACAACCTGGCGAACGATCAATTCGGGCCCACGACAGTCGGGTCTACGTAACCGGAATGACCCAGATTTATATCTGGCCAATGACTGTCACTCCAGCAACACTCCCCAAAATCTCTTTTGACAAACGAACATGACATGGATGACAAACGACCTCGATTATTTGTATAAACAACCTTTATTTGCTTTATTTGCAATCTACAAGAAAATTTCTTAGCCATTTCTTGTACGTCATTTTAAATGGAGTTTTTGCTTTTCTTGAGAGCTACGTACTGGCCTTAATTCAGATTTATTTACCTCCCGAACCACAAAGAATTCGTTGTCATCCGTAATTTTAATGGGAAAATTGCCGAATTCAGCTGTCAAATTGAAAGAATATATAAGGAAAAATCAGAGAAGCGATGAAGTAAAAAAAAACGACGAACTGTCAAATTGAATTACGAATCTGTCGTGTAAACAGGGTAGTTCGCCATTAAAAATGCGATGCTCGTGGGAACTTAGCGTACTTAGCATTTTGTTACCCACGGCCTTGGCTATCTCAATTTTTATGTACCTAAATTTGGAACAAAATTCTAAAAAAAAATCAGTAAAAAATCCAATTTCTTGCAAGTGTCTCTTAACTAGCCTAACTAGATTATACTGCATCTTCTACTTGTATTGCCTTCATTTCTCTCAGTGAAAAAAAAAAAAATATTAATAAACATCGTTCTGCTTTCTATTTGAGTAAGTATGAAAAAATTAGGCTCTATTTAAATCGCATACATGACTTTTGTAGATATTCAATTTGCTTTCATAAATCTCAATTATCTCTGGCGGCATAAAACACACACATTTTTCAAATACACTTAGACGAAACAATGTACATATAGTACTCGTATTAAAAAAAATCTGCCATTTTATATAAACCTTCACTTGTCGCCTTAACTTCTATTCATTAGATAGTAAAGTACCTTAAATTTATGTGCACACATCCAAGTGGCGCGCAAAAAAAAAAACTTAATAAACAAACAAAAAAATACAGGCCGATCATAAATATGTTCAAGAATAACAGCTGCATTTAATACCTATACAAGTTTGAAGTGGGTCAACCAACAAATATACCGATTGTGTTATTTGTGAGTGCGCCCTGCAGGAAAAAAATTGAACTAGTTAAGAACTGGCAATGTGTATTCAAAATGTTAACATCAATTAGCAGATTTTCAAATCTTGGGTTCACAAAAATCTTAATTAACTGAAAACTTCACTCCAGCATTTTGAAACCCTTTTTGGCAAATATATAAGTAAAACTTTAGATTAAAATACCCAAAATAGTACACTGTAGCACCGCGATTGTCAGCAGTTCATAATCAATAGGTTTTCTCACTGGGCATAAATCAAGCATAGGTATTTTAGAAATATTTACAGCAAACCTTGATAACACCAACTGACTTGTGGAGCATTCGGGCGGCCTATAAATAATTATCGCACCTAATTGAAAGTAGTACCAGATGTACGCGTAGTCACATTATCAATTTAATAATACAATGAGAGGTTAACATAAGTGCTAATATTCAATACGCAATGTTTGCAAACTAATATTAATTGTATAACAATTGCAAACTAATGATTAGCGACCTATTTAGCTTATATTGTACATATATAAAAAATGAAATTTGCACACTTACCGAGAGGGCATATTATTTAAAATCTTTTCAGTTATAAAACCAGCTTGATTGCAACGCTCTAGAAAGCGATCCAATATTATATAAGCAAGTGGCACATCCAAGACAATGTCAGCCATATCGTCAAATACGCGCAAGAAGCCCTATCCAAAAAGAAATGTAAACATAATAAATATATGAGTATTACAAAATTATAATTATTAGTAAGAATATAAAGGACAAGTTGGTTAGTTTTCACTTCTTAATTGTAATTCAAGCCTCCGATCAAAATAAACTTAACAAACAGCCTTTCTGAAGAATATCAAGCCTTGTAGAATTACCGGCCATAAAAGTTTCTAGAATAATCTAAAAAAATAAAACTCTTTTACACACCTGCTCCATGCCGGCTGGCAATACCAAGCATGCCTTATCCAACGACTTGAGTAGCTCACACATGGCCTCCTCCGTATTCTGGCTGAGGGATTCGAGAGTCATGACAATGGCTTCATACACCAATTCATGATGGAAATGTGGTACTTCGAGTGCGCGTAGACAGCGATGTGCCTCTTGTATGTCGCGTGATGACAAATACTCCTTCAATAGCAATGTCATCTCCTTGGTGATGGTCTTGACTGGTCGCAACGGCCCGCCCATACCCCAAACATTGTCCAAATGTGCCCAGCCCTGCTTCATGTGCATTAAGGTGTCAGCGCGACGTATAGCAGCGGCAGCATGTTGGCTCTGCGCATCGAGATCGGTCGGCTTTGTGACGAATTTGGGTGGGAGGCAGTCATCGGCGACAGCACGTGCTAGGAAATTGCCTGAAAAAGTGATATTTTGAAGATGCTAAGATTAATTTGAAACAAATTAAGCGAAAATAAGCGCGAAAACAATTATACACTATCTGTGGTCAAAGTCGCATTTAGCAACACCAGCACATTTCAACTTAACATACCTAGTATGGTAGGCGCCTCCGGAGTGTCCAGTGTCAAGTCTGGCAAATTATCCAGCAAAATCTCGAAACCCTTTTCGATATCCTTCGCGGTTATGACGCGTCCATACAAATCGGATATCAATACCGATGTCATTTCACGCTGCGAATCCTTATGATCCATTGAGATCTCAACCACAACGCTTGTCACGTATGGTCGCAGCGGACCGGTAAGTATCTCGTCAAAGCTCACAGCCACCTCATGGGTATCACCGTGCTCATAATACTCCAATACAATTGGTTCAGCTAATTTGAAGAATTCTTCCGGTGTCAACTCCGGAATAACTTCACGCAACTCGATATTCTTATCATTACATTCGCTATCGTAGTTGGGATCATTCTCATCTTCATACACTTCTTCGAGCGCCTCCGAACCAAGCAAGCCCCAAACACCCTTACCACCAGCGCCGCCTTTCNACTTCACGCAACTCGATATTCTTATCATTACATTCGCTATCGTAGTTGGGATCATTCTCATCCTCATACACTTCTTCGAGCGCCTCCGAACCAAGCAAGCCCCAAACACCCTTACCACCAGCGCCGCCTTTTTTCGGCAAGCCGCGTCCGTAGCCGTTGCGCGACCGACGACTATTCTTCCAGCGACGATGTGGCACCACATAGCCGCCAGCGCTGCCATTAACGGCCGCAGCGAGTGCTGCACTGGCAGCGCCATTCGTCTCGCCACGACTATTTTGTCTGTGTATGAGACGCTTGGCACGCCGCTTGATGCGATCATGACCATCTCCAACGGGCAAGGGCTTCTTCATGTGCCCATTCATGCCTTTCGGTGACCCAGACGAGCCATTTAGCTCAACAGCCTGCACGTCCTCGTTGAGTTCGCGCTCCACGGAGCTATCGCGCGAGTCCACATTACCATTTCGTTGGGCGGTTTCGATTTCCATCTTTCACTACCAAAATAGAGTTTAACGCTTGCTAAGATTCGCCTGAGTTTTACGTTAGTTTTTTTTTTTGTAGATACAATGATTAATATTTTTGTATACACGTATGTAGGTATGCAAGTTTGTCACAGAGTTTAAACGGAAACGACGTTCACACAACGCGCAATCTTTCACTCACTCCAATGCATACACTCTTACGGAAGGACTTGTACTTTTATAGCAGGTGCTTTAAATATCGTTATAACTCTCAAAATGCGCTTAAAGGTGGAGTTTGCAAAAGCTGCAATAAGATCAGTAACCTCACAATCTCCAAAACCTTCAGGGCTTCACAATAGCGTTTTAGGAATCCAGCGCTGCAACTGCAAAGGAAATTAAAATAGGTTATCTTTGGCTAAACTACTGGAAATTACATAATTATAGATGGGAGTGTATTATCTAGAGAATTGTATTTGTTTAAAGGTGAACATATATGTATTCGAGAATCAAATTAACCTAAGAATTACATATATATGGAAAAAATTGTTGTTGTTGCTCTACTAAATTCTGCCTAAATAGTGGATCCATTAAGTATTGTCGCCAATCTCACCTAACGGTAATACCAATAAACGTGCTCATTCGACGGGGTGGAGAAAGGTGTTCGCTGAATGAGAAAAGGTGGTTGTTATCGTGTGGGGAACCTTCACAAGCCGGGCGTGTGTTGGGTATGTCACGGGGCGAAAGTTTGTTGTTGTGGTTGATGTGTAGTGTTACTACTAAGCCCCGCCTAGATCAAGTTGATAAATTTAACTAACGGTAGGCTCAGGAAACGAGTTTTTTTCTCTAAATTGGGATTGAATTCGAGGAAGGTGGAGATTGGGCTCCGATCACGGTATTCATAGGTCGAAAGTTGTCAATGAATGCGGTTTAAAGCCTGCTCAGGCAAAAGTATTACGTTCCTTGTAATGAAAGATCTGAGCGATGGAATGTTTGAAGCGAGTGAATGTTTGGTCCAGTGTGACTGACAGTGCTGATTTTTTTCTAAGGCTGCGATTTTTTGCGTCCTTTTCACGTTAAGTGCCTTGACGCCTTGGTGTATGAATGACGAGAGAAACAAGACCGCAACTACTGGAGAAATGAAAGATAGCCGACAGGTTTCTCGAATTCTCAAACTGTCCTTAAAATTGGCTTTCGAAGCTTTAGCCTTCCTGATGATCAAACTAATTTCGTCGCTGTTGAAAGCAATTGGCGCGCTGGTGTTTGGCAGTCTCCGCAGCCGTCTGGTGGTGACTACTCGTTTCCGTCGTAATATGGTAGGTAAATTTCGGGTTGAAATAGCTTCTTCGGATCTATCAAAGTACACTCATGGTACTTCGCCATACCACATATATGCACCGGCGCGTAATACTCGTACAACTTATAGAAAAAAACTACTCTTACATATATGTACTTCGTTCTAACCTTGTCACAAAACAGTTACTTTACATTATGGCCTTAAACTATGTAAGTCGTACAAGTCAAGAATTGCACAGCTTAAAAACTCTACGCATCATCAAAGGCCAACCTAGATAAACAAAAGGCACTATTACGTAGTCGCCGCGTTCAATGCACCAAAGAATCACAAAATCAGCCAACCAAGCAATCCCAGCTATCTTCTAACGATTCCGAACGTCATTTGATACTTGCCAACAGCGAGCAAGCGAACGAAGGCAATCTGGCTATCTTGACTTACAACACAATCACTGAATCGTATTGGATGCTAAACATGTTTGCATGTACATAAATGCATAGCTCATGAACGCGTCCCGTGCTCCAACGCAACTGCCAATAGTTGAGGTATATAGTCACATTTGTGATTGGAGGGCGACGGGTTGCACATCTGTACATATGTATGAGTGCGTGTATGGAAGCCCACAGACTGACTGACGGGCTGCCCATTGCATACACAGTTTATGCGCCGACATGCACTCGGAGCCAAAGTACTAGTTGAAGGTTTGTTTTTAACTACATTCTATGCATCTATCTACAATATATGTACATAAGAACATATTATTTTTATGACTGTACATATGCATATGCATACATATGCTCGCTTTCGAGTTTAAGGCCTTAGAAGTGCATCGCCACTTCTATTTCAAAAGCTATTCTCGCGGACANCTCGCTTTCGAGTTTAAGGCCTTAGAAGTGCATCGCCACTTCTATTTCAACCGTCTATTCTCGCGGACTGACCAGTTTGTGCGACTGTCAGTTCATAAAAAAATTGTATTTTTACTTTACCTGCCAAGTGCACTATTTGTCAATAACAGCAAATGTGCAAAGAATTTACTAGCTTGCCAATGCAAATACAAAATGACATTCTAATGTCTTGGGCCATAAAATAAAACAAGTAATTTTTAAGCAAAAAACCACAACCGAATTCAATTTTCATATCAAAATTTTAAGAGTACCGTTAATTTTTCAGAGTAGAATGGGACCANCGCGTTCAATGCACCAAAGAATCACAAAATCAGCCAACCAAGCAATCCCAGCTATCTTCTAACGATTCCGAACGTCATTTGATACTTGCCAACAGCGAGCAAGCGAACGAAGGCAATCTGGCTATCTTGACTTACAACACAATCACTGAATCGTATTGGATGCTAAACATGTTTGCATGTACATAAATGCATAGCTCATGAACGCGTCCCGTGCTCCAACGCAACTGCCAATAGTTGAGGTATATAGTCACATTTGTGATTGGAGGGCGACGGGTTGCACATCTGTACATATGTATGTATGCGTGTATGGAAGCCCACAGACTGACTGACGGGCTGCCCATTGCATACACAGTTTATGCGCCGACATGCACTCGGAGCCAAAGTACTAGTTGAAGGTTTGTTTTTAACTACATTCTATGCATCTATCTACAATATATGTACATAAGAACATATTATTTTTATGACTGTACATATGCATATGCATACATATGCTCGCTTTCGAGTTTAAGGCCTTAGAAGTGCATCGCCACTTCTATTTCAACCGTCTATTCTCGCGGACTGACCAGTTTGTGCGACTGTCAGTTCATAAAAAAATTGTATTTTTACTTTACCTGCCAAGTGCACTATTTGTCAATAACAGCAAATGTGCAAAGAATTTACTAGCTTGCCAATGCAAATACAAAATGACATTCTAATGTCTTGGGCCATAAAATAAAACCAGTAATTTTTAAGCAAAAAACCACAACCGAATTCAATTTTCATATAAAATTTTAAGAGTACCGTTAATTTTTCAGAGTAGAATGGGACCAATGCGTTTGTTTTGCGTGATACATTTTTTTTTGTTAATTATTTATAAGTAATTTTTAAGCAAAAAACACACCCGACTTCAATTCTCATATAAAAAGTTAAGAGTACCGGTAATTTCTTCATGATCCAATGATCAGATTTAAACCAAATTACCGAGACACTACCTTTCCAATAAAAACGAATTATCAAAATCGGTGACGTGCCCAAAGTTATGCGGCAACATACATACATAAAAAAATATACTCCAAAAACAGCTTTAATAACAGCTTTAATAATCAATGAACAATTTTTATAAATTTTGCATTTTTAAAACACCAATGGTAACCAATAACAAACGAAGCATCAACTTTGTTTATGTTTCTGATGCGCTGATTTCTCGTGCGCTGCGTTTCGATAACTTTTCGGATGCGTTTGTGAAAAGTATACATTGTCAATATTTTGTAGTTCGGCGTTATGGAACATTTAGTTTGTACGTATGCAAAGCAATTGACGTTTTGGAAGTCAGTCATTTTCTATTTGGAGTCCATAAATTTTGTCACCCACGGTATCTAATACTATCCCAAACGCAATATAATTTTTATTTACATACATAAGCACATGTTTTTTTTTTTAATCAGTCACATAGGAAGCTTTCAAGCTTTCACCTCTCATAACTGACCTACCACAAAACATAAAACACTGCACTTGCATTGAAACACTTAAGAAAACTGTGAGCGAATTGATTACGTTCGTAGGTTCTTCATAGCTTTTCTATGTAGCAAATATGTAGTCGTAACCAGTGTTGCCAGTTTAGTCTTTTTGAGGCTAGATCCAGCTTTTTTATTTGTCGTTTAGCTTCGGGATTTGGGATTTCTTATTTCCAAACTAGGATTTTTTAAAGGACAGCCCTCCACAATATTTGTGGTTGCACTAAATTATTGTTTCGGCTCAGATTTACTTGACGAAATGTTAAGCGAATATCATCCGTAGGCATCGCTCCATCCGACGAAATTTACTCAGCGAACTCGTTCTGTTTATATTTTAAACTTTTTTTCAGGAACTCTCAAGTGTCCCTATAAAACCAAGAAAAGCATGTTATTTCTTAGAACTTCGCACCCCACGGAAATGACGTCAAGCACTACATCGTTAGCGAGAAAGGGTGTTTAGTCGCCAGTGCTTTGCCGTAGCCCCTTCAACCCCTCTGCTATTGCGTCACATGCCACCGACCATTTTTCGCTGCTTTGTAGCATAGCCTCCACGATTGACACAGGTGTGAAAGTCTCGCCAGATATATTGCGAAGCTTGCATCCGGTACTGTCGAATCGCATACACTCAAAAAAGACGTCTTCTATTACATCTCCTCTGCAGTAGTCGCATATGGGTTCCGGTTCGTGTTTGAATCGGTGAAGGCGTGCTTTGAAGCACTCATGTCGAGTTAAACAGTTTTTCAAATAGAAATCAACTTCGCCGTTTAGTCTGAAAGGCTGGACTTTTTTAACCTTTTTTTTGGGCCCTTGAGCTTTTTTATTTGGCCGATTTAGCTTTTTTATTTTTGCTGGTAACACTGGTCGTACCTATAAATATATACAAACGACACATCACGACGACGCAATTACAAGTGACAGGTGATAGGAAGACGGGGGAGATTTGCAAATGTGGATGCTAAAAATACTGCGCAATTCACCATTCATTTAGTAAAACAAAAAATACAATTACTTAGACAAGTGTTCATATGTTGAATCTTTAAATGAAACTTCTTTGCGGTAAAAGATAAAGATTGCGAGATTCGAGATTAAAATAATTGCTCATTATCAAGGTGTATTAAACAAGGTGTGATTGACAGCTCAGGTAGGCTCTCTTTTAAGGTACTATAGTGCCAAAAAATATAAAAAAGCGATTTAAAATTCATAAACAGTTTTTTTTTTTTTCAATTTGACTTTATAGGATAGTTCTTCTGAGAGCAATGTCAAATTCAATCACACTTGTGGAATACTTTGTTAAATATTAACAATTAGGCTATTCACACATTCCTTGTTATTTCTTTATCCGGTTAAAAATTATTATTCTTCAGTGTATTTTGTTGTTGGAAACTTAATAAAAAATACATAGAGCACTTAAAA